CTCAAAAAAGTAAATTTTACATACTACTGCCCCTTTAAGAAAAAGAAGTATAAAAAAAGAACACATGGAAAGCTTAGACTGTATGCAGGAAAAAAGCAGAAGGAAAGAAAGAGAGAGAGAAACCAGGACTTCATTTATTGAAGTCCTGGTTGCGCATTACTGACCTTTGGATCTTGCAGCTTGCCTTCCCTACAGTCACCACTTGTTTGTTTCCAGTGTCCAGAAAGGCTCCTCTGATAGTCAACATGGTGTTACCAGACTTTGGACCAAATGTGGGAAAGATGTTGTTGATCACAGGGTCCTGGATGGATGGATGAATGGAGAGGAGATAAAGAGTTTATTAAAGGCTGTAGTAATTAGGTACAACCTTCATTTGCAGCAGATCAGACAGGAAATGAGACCGAGAGAGAGGATGAGAGAAGACATGCAGCAAAGGTTCAGAGTCTGGAACAGGATCCCTGATGGAACTTCTACACTGCGAAGCGCTCAGGTGCAACCTCTGCTTTTGTACTGGAAAAACATTAAAACCAGATGAGAAATAAAATACAGTGATCCCTCGCTATAACGCGGTTCACCTTTCGTGGTCTCGCTGTGTCGTGGATTTTTTTGTGCAGTTTTTTTCACAGTGCATTGTGTTCTGCGTCCTGATTGGCTAAACAGTCTCCGAGCTCCTTCTCTACCTGTGTGCCAATAACGTTACAGTATTTAAATATAAGTAATACAGATTGGCCTTTCAGGAGATGAAAGCTGAAAACTTTGAATGCCTGCTGGAAAAAACTGTGGTCAGAATCAGCGCAAAACCTGACCAGAGGCTCGCTTGACGAGATCCATCGCTCTGCCATAGATACAGCTGTGAATCTCACGGGGCAGGTTGGAGGAGACACTTTAGTGACATGACTCCGGATCACATTAAGGCCCGATTGATGAACACACACCCGCTGACCTGAAAACAGATTTTGTTCTTTGGTTTCAATGTAGAGTATTTAATTATGCTGTATAATAATTGTAAAAACTAAAGGTAACTACTTCGCAGATTTCACTTATCGGGGTTATTTTCGGAACGCAACCCCTGCAAAAAATGAGGAATTACTGTACTCCAGACTGACACACAGTCGTGGTCATCAGTGCACACCAGTGACTTTTTGAGCTCCAAGAATGAGGCAGCGACCACCGTGACAGACTGGAGGGTTTACTTTTATGCTGCGTAAACCAACACGTCTTTTCCAACATAGGCTCTATTTACACAGAAGAGGACATCTGACTTTGGACCAAATGTGGGAAAGATGTTGTTGATCACAGGGTCCTGGATGGACCCTGTGATCAGTCCAGTGATAAAGTCCAGTGCGATTTTATTCCAGTGCGAATAAAGTCGCACTGGATTTTATTCAAAAGTGTCAGACCAAATGGTCAAATAAAAAATGCAAGCTGCATTATTTAGATTTTTATTAGATATTTATTTAGATTTTTAATTGCAGAGAAAATTCAGTCGTTTTCCTTCCATTTTGTGTTGGTTTGCCACATGAAATACCTAAAATGTGTTTTGGAAGTTCTGCTTTTTATTGGGATAAACTGTCAGAAATGGCTGTGGATTTTGTAATGTACTATATAATCTGCACTTTGGATAATTATAGGCAGAAAAATCTTAACTGAAAGATGAGAAAATGGCCCTCATTTGGAGTCACTCTTTTCACTTCAATACAAAACAAAATCTATTCAGAGAGAGAAAGAAAAAAAAAAAAAAACATCTTACCACAAATTTGAAGCCTTCCAGTTTGGCTACCGCGTGGCCACTGGTGACCTTCACCAAGTGTCCGGACGGAGTGAAGTTCCCACTGAACGACGGGGAACACTGCATCTCAGTCCATCTGCTCCCGACCCCCCAAACAACACACAGACCAGGCATTATTCACCACCACAGCACCCAGCGTTTAGCCTAATTCAATGATCATGCAGTACCCAGCAGGAATGCACAAAGACTTCATCTTTATGTGGCATGGTGAAGGCCATCTTTTTAGAAAAATTTCCTGTAATGAAGTTGTTTGGAGCAATAAGGAGCTCTTGAGCGTGGATTTGGAAGAGACTAAAGATTGTATTCGGTGATTTTCTTTTTTTTTTCCCCAGTAATTTTTCTGTTAAGGTAGTCATGAGTTGAATGTGGCAGGCTGGGGGAGGGGGTGGAGGGGTTAAAGGGTGGATGCTTTTTAACATTCCTCCTTCCACACAATCAGTCCTGGTAGAGCAGCAGCCAGGTGTCTCTCTTGCTCATAAAACCAACTTAGCGGCTTTATTAAGGTACACACACCACAGCAATTCCCAAAACCTGGTTATTGCCAGTCAATAACACTAACCCAACACACACACATGCACACGCACGCACAGACACACACCTGTTGACATTGTCCTGTCTAGCCAGCTTGCACTGAGCTCCTGCCACTTCCACGTTCACCATCGAAGTTTTGAAGTTCTCTGTCTTGTCGAAGCCGAAGTTGCGTCCGCAAATAGTTACGGCTGTAGAACCCCTGATTGGTCCAGAGGACGGGAACACCTGTAGCAATGCAGAGGAGAATGGATCCGTTCTGATCAGAGTTCTGATCGAACCGCGAACTGAAGGCAGTCACAGTCATTCTGTTAGACCTAAATTAAAAAAAAACATTTCTTAGTTTTAAGAAAAGACCAGAATTGCACAACTTTCAGCTTGAACGGACCAGACCCGTGATTAGAAGTTTAGAGAGCACACCATACCCAATCACTGGCAAACACTCTTCAGAGTGGATGCAATTAAACAAACAGCTGGTCGCCTAAAATCCCTTTTATTTAGCTGATTTCACTGTACAAAATGATCACAGGGCGCTGCGCAGTCAGTTGAACAAACAGATAAGGATGCAAACCAAACTGGTCTTTTTGTCATAAACCTCTTGATGAGGAAAGAAGATGGCTGTGGACAGCAGCCGTCAATCGTAAGTGAATGAGATTAGTAATATGCAATCAAATACTGCATTGCAGAGAAGGTACATGTCTAATCACTCGTAACTAGCGATGCACCAATATGAACATTTCTGCCGACATCTGATATCAATATTCCTGCTATGGCTGATAACCAATATTTACTGATCTTATATGTTTTTTTCTACCTTTTTGACACCTTTGGGGGAAAAAAACACAACCAGAAACAAAAGGCAACAAGATGAAAATAAATATTGTTATAAATAATATAACATCAGCCCAGTGCTGTATTTAGCACCTGTTAGTCAGTTTAGTATTATCCGACCCTTGACCTCATGCTGCCATATTTATACCGGCTGTACTTTGTGTACCTTGGTGATGACCGGTGTGCAGTTGTCCTGACTCCAGGAGGAGGTGGAGGGACACTGAGGTCTTCTGGTGCAGCGGCCATCACACCAGCCACACTGCGTCACTTTGGATGACAGCAAACAAGATGTACACGTGGTCAGCTGACCACAGCCTGGGCCAATCAGAGGGATCTTGGTGATCTGGAAGGGAAAAGAACAGAATTTACAACAAAAACCTCTTAAAAAAAGGATAAAAACATTGAAATTAGGTTATTTCATCTCACTTCTACAAAAAATATGTAGAAACTGGACTGAAACCCAGTTTCAGTCCAGTGGGTTTGTGTAAAACTACATAATTAAAGGAAATGTAGCTACAGATAGTGAATAAAATCTGAATAGATTCCCGTCAGAATGATCTTGTGTTTCTTTTTTCTAATTGATGAAGTAAAGAACAAAAAGGACATGTAATGTTGTGGATAATGTGTGGAATCCTGTCTACCTTGCTGCCTGTGGCCATCAGCACGGCTCCCTCAGAGTGCGGCGTGTCTGGCAGAACTACGCTGGCAGAGACAGGACTGGAGTCCAGGCCGATGTTCACATGGGGCGACGTAAACCTGGAGAAGAGCACCTGGAAGGAAACACACACTTTACGAACATCTAGAACAGTCTCTGGTCTAGATACAAAACATAGCGTTTGTGCGATTGCATTAAAGCAATTTGACATTTCAAAAATAAATTTGCTTGATGGAAACACTGCAATTTCTACATAAAAACAAACAAAAAAAACCTCTCCTTTTTTGATAAAAAGTTTTGGCGCTAAATGAGGTGGTTTTTGTTGGCTGTACCAAAATTGGTTTGTTTCCCAAAACTGCAATGCAAGCACTTTTCCCCCATCCCAGGGGTCACGTGATCAACAACCAGATGGTTTCACTGACGCAAACAACAAAGAAGAAGATGACAGGATCACAGAATGTTTTTTAATGACTTATCTGGTGAACAAACTTAATCATGTGTGATTATAACTGTTTCCTGATTAACAAAAACACTACAAATGCAAAATTGCGTTCTTTTCAATAATAGCTGAATATTGACAACATTTTGTGCACATTTATAATGGAAACACAGCTACTGAGAACCAAGGAACCTCTCCGAGTTAATTTGATGTTAATCAGCAAAACTTGGTTTGGGTTGTGAGGTTTCAGGTAAAAATGGGTTTATTTATTTTTTCATTATCCTATTGCTCTCTTCAAAACTTCACAAACAACAGACTAAACAGAACGCAAGTGCTTAGAGTTCATAACTTCGACCTCAATGTCAGATGTTTGACAAAGACATTTGCTTTTCTTCCTCACAGTACATTCCTGCCAAAAGGGAAGCTAGGTCAGGACGCTCCGTCAGATGGCGGGATTTTATTCACTCACCACCTTTTCATTGATGCAGAGGTAGCCTAATAAACACCAAGAATAATAAAAAGTGGGACATGTCATATGCAGTCTGTATGATAGAAGGACTGAAGAAGCTAGAGGACATCTATAAGTTATTGCTGTGCTGTGCCAGCACACCTTGACAGGGAACTGGAGCAGAAAAACCATCCAGGATGTATCATCCCTCCCTGAGGCCTCTCTGCTTTGCCCTATTTTATAACATGACATTGAGTAAAGCAGAGTTGTGTGAACGCAGCATTTTTTCTTTTTCATTACTGTCAGTGCTAAGGCTTCTAAAAGCTCAACGACGCTTGGCAAGTCAGGCTCACTTCAGCTTAGGATCCTCCATAGAGACGCCACAGATCCAGCATGAACCCAGACTGGTTGGGTAAACTGAACATGTGTAGAGACATGCGAAAATTATTCACACCTCTTGAACTTTCTCACATTTTGTCACGCTACAACCATCATGGGAAAATCTGTCGACAGGACAACTACCAGTTTCCTCAAACCTGGTCTGTGGGGCAAAGTGGTAAAGGAGACCACTGGTGAGAGGAAGACATACAAATTCCCACTATATTCACTTTCAGAAAGTGGAAATGGACTTCTTATCATCGTTCTGTATGCTAATATTAGGTAAACATCAACCATCAACTCCAGGCTTACATACAATGAAATCTTGAATTTCACTAACACACCCACCCACACACACCCACCCACACACACACACACACACACACACACCCACCCACACACACACACACACACACACACACACACACACACACACACACACACACACACACACACACACACACACACACACACACACCTTCAGTGACACACACCTGGTGCAATACTTATCCGTTGTGGTTATGCTGCAGCTTTTGGCTTTGGAACAAACATAACTGAACAGGGTATTAATGGGGTATGTGGTCACTGCAGTAACATGAGGTTTTTCTAAATTATACACACACCCACACTTATATGTGCACACACACACAAGCACACACACACCTAGCAGCCAGTAACACAGTTAAGACAATCCAGTGGTGACTTGTGGTGTGTGTGTGTGTGTGTTTATGTGCGTGTGTTTATGTGCGTGTGTGTGTGTGTGTGTGTGTGTTTTATGGCATTAGCCAACGGGCTGCTGGATGCACTGAAGCTGTTGACTGTTTCACCCTTTGGTTCAAGCCTACGATGCGTCAGGGCATCCAGGAAAAACACAACACACTCAGCATAGTAAACTTTAAATGTACTTTTTTTACTCAGTTGGCTGAACCGCAGCTTGGCCTCTGGTTCCTCTGCTGACAAACATGTTGTTTTCCAGTGTCATTCTTTCACTGCTTGAACCTCATGATCAACGTTAGCTTTTGTGACAGCGAGGATAATAGGTGGCTTTCCGCAGGGGACAGGGCCACACAACAGCCATTTCTCTGGAGGTAATAGTGGTGTAAATTACAGCTTATTGTATTAAGGAGGCTGGGGGGAAGTTTGGCCTATAAACACTGGCACTGTGTAATTCCCACAGTGGGCCGACTGAAGTCGAGGGAACGCTTCCTGAGTCAGTCCACTGGGGGGGGAAACAACGTTCCTTTTCTTTCACTGCCTCTGCCCCATATTCCTTCTCGCTTTGTCCACCAGGGCTGACAAGGAAGCTCAAACGCATGAAAAGTTGACAGGTCCTTTTGGCCCAACGAACAATGAAGTTGATTTTGATGAGAACGTCTTGTAGGTTTTCTTCTGCGTAGCTTTAGACGGAGGCAGCAGGCGGTCAGGGGGTCATCAGATCAAATGCATACCAGGGTGACTTTGGGGAAGAAAAGTTTCTGTTTGGGTTCAAATGAAGGATCTTAGCGACTTGGAATTACAGAGTCAAAAATGAGTCAAAAAAAAAAAAATTGGACAATTTAAAAAATCTTACTGCCTAATGAGCAAACACTGATTCTTTCTAACAATGTTTAAGTAGAATGAAAAGTTGAGAATGCTCAGATTGGGTTCTGTTGCTGGAATAAATCTCTAGTGGAATTGGAAAGGAGTCTGAACTTAAATTTAAAACAACAAAAACCACAAAAACAGAAGATGTCTTAAAGCTCCGGCATGTAACTTTTATAAAACATGTTTTTTACATATGTATTAAAACGGTCACCTTATAGCGACCGTATGGTATGAGACAGATAAAATGTGAAGATCCATCTCCTCCACCCTGAGTGAAGAAATTAACGGCTCCTGACCAGAGCCAAGACTGTCAATCAACCTCATGTACTCACTGCTCAATGTGGTGGCTATGCTAACTAACCTGAGTGTTCATGACAGGCTCTGCTCTCAGGAAAAAGCTGTAGTTTATCAGAAGGGGGAGGAGAGGATGAGCAGGTGTGTGCTGGGGTGATTGACAGCGCTAAGACCCGCCTCCTGGCTCTGATTGGTTGTTTCTTGATAGCATTGAGAGAAGGCAGAGGAGTTTGATTTTCTTTCGCTTATTATGTGTCTCATACCAAACTGTCACCAAATAGTGACAGTTTCAACAAATATATAATAAAATATTTATCTTTCATAAAAGGTGCATACTACAGCTTTAAGCTGAGGACCACAGTGACACTTTTGAGAATATATGAATAGATAATTGACAGACTAATCCCATCTGAGTGTGAGCCTACATTTTGAGTAAAATGTTTTTTGTTTTTTTTTGTTTTTTTTTGTCATGTTTGCTGCTTTCATTTTACTTTAGGCTGTAATCCCTAAAACTGGCTAGTACTCATTTCTTCCTATTCTCATTCTTCCATCTGCTGCTTTTCTCTGTTGATTCTACAAGCAAAGACTTAAGCCTGGTCGTGTGACTGTGCGCTGCTTGCCACTGCTTAACTAAATGGTTAACTTCGTGAAGTTTAGACTCCTGCTTTAGCTAAAGCTGAAAACAAATCAACTTGTGTATGTTAGTGGAGATGGAGCCTGGGGGGAACGGGGCTCTTGGTATTGGGGTGAGGAGGGGGGCTAAGCGTGAAGTGGCATGGCTGGCTTTAGGACTGACTGTGGAAAAGCACGGCAACAGCTGCAAGGAACTTGCAGAATGCCGTGCGAGGGAACGCGTTAGGGAAGCCCGTCGTTCACCATTAACGTACCGTTCAGCCTGTAAGCCCCCTCGCTCCCCGCTGCCTCTGCCCTCCCCGCCTTTCCTTGCAGCTGTCACGCAGATTTTCCATGTCTCTGCTGCTTTTTTTCGTGCATGCTTTTTATTTCTTGAGTTTCGAAAACACGTGACGCAACTCAGCTTTTGCTTTTTGGCAATTCATTCCGTTGCGATAGTATTTTAACAATGCAACACAAATCGCAGGCTTCAGTCAGCAGTCATGACGCTGACATGTTGTTTTACTGATGGAACGACGGGTAAAGCAGGAAACAAGGTGTTGCATTCTATGGTGTGACATGAAACAACACAAGTTTGCCATTGGAAGCTGATTAAACTACAACAGCCTTAATATACACGCTGCACTGTAAAACATTTGAGCAGAATTTAGTTGTGTCTACTATGTTCTATTTTTAAGTCAAATAAAAAGTGAGTTTTAGATTTTGAACCTAAATATGTGAGTTTGTGAAAGATAAACTTACAGTAGAAAGTTGTGTTAACGTTTTATTCATTTTGTCAAACCGCCAAGAGCTGATTAAACTAGAGTGTTTAGGTTAGCACTTAAACAAAGCTTAAAAAAAAAGAAAAAGACAGGAGTGGGAACTATTTCCCAGAGTGCTTAGCAGCAAGTTTTTGTATCCTGTGTGTGTTATATTGATCTGACTCTTGTGTGTTAAGGCAAATGTTTATTTTAATGCAACTGACAGTTTGCAAAGCTTGAGGATAAGTCCTATTCACACTAAATGTTTCTGAACATAATTTTATTGTGATGTTTAATAAAATTCATTATCAGATTAGAAATTTTGTTCATGCAATCTGAAACAAGAATTTAAATTAGTAAAGTAAAAAAAGTTATTTTAAGTTATTTTAACTTGATATTAAGAGTGAAAATAATAGGTGAACTAGATGAGGGCAGTTTTTTATGATATTTGTGAAATAATTATTTGGTTTAAATTGCAGCATTAAGTTAAAACTCACAATTCAATATTAATTAACATAAAAAATAAGACATTTTGTTTCTTGTTGTTAAATCAACTTCATGAACTTTAAACAGTTTTCTTGTTGACTTTAATTGAATTGTCAAAGCAGCAGGTGGACTTTCATTTTAAACCACCTTCCAATGTTTTACAGTGTTCTTGCATTACTCAGCTGCAGCCTTCAGAAAGCCAGATTTGGCCTGATTATGAAACAAGAGAAATAAGAACCACAGTTTATGTGCAAAGTCATCCTCCAAATTATGTAAAGACATCAAACAATTAAAGATTAACCAGTGTCTGAAACATACTCAGGGTGTTGAAGTTTTGTTTACTCATGAAAAGGAATTTAATGTTATTTCATTCTGGCAGGTGTTTGGTCACATGGCAGACTTTAACTTCCACTCTTGGCACAAGATATTAAAACACCTCGATATCTCACCAAAGTGAAATCTGTCTGCACTATGCAGTTACTTCCAGCTTATGATTCTCTGGAGAAATATTTTGGACTGATGTTATGAGGCCCAGATATGAATGTGGGGTCTTTGAGCTTGGCATTCTGTGTATATCAATGTTTTAGCGAGTTATTTTGAAGGAAGAATTCTTCCAGTTTGAAGAATTCTTCTTCAAACTGGCATTGAAGAAGAGTCCATGAGTTCCAAAAAGCTTGTGTGACAGCAGTTTAGGTACTCAGTGAAGAAAGAAACAGTAACGTTACGTGACACAAACATTTTGTAAACACAGCAAAAATGCTGCCACAGGCCAACCGTTAGCTGCTAGCAAAGCTAAAGTTAGCATCCTAGCAGTCGGTGATAGATTGAAGGACTATTTCACAGTATTTTATTGAGTTCGGACTGTAATCATCACCTCTATTTCAAAATTTAAACTTAAGACTGATAGATAGCTCCATGTTGAACAGAGACCTGTTTTAAATTGTACAATTAAGGAGCATTGCCGACGTTTTTCTTATTTATTTATTTATTTATTTATTTATTTATTTATTTATTTATTTATGTCTAAAAACCAGCTTAGAATTGACAAATTAGAAAAAAAACCCTTAAAAATCCAACATCACACTGAGGTTTGAGAATCTTAAAGATTCCTCATGATTCTGTAATCAGTTTGGGTTTTGTTCCACTTTTAGTTATGTAACAAAAAAACATATCGTCTTGTTTTGTCGTGTAGTGTTTTTTTTAATGGCCTGGATGTATTTTGATGTATTCATGTAGAGCAGAGTGCCCAAAGTTGATCCTCCAGGCCCGGCATCCTGCATGTTTTAGTTTTCTCCCTGGTTTAACGCACCTGGATCAAATGATGGCTCATTAGATGGCCTAAGAAGAACACTGACATGCTGAAGAGATTGTTACTACCACCAGGGAGAGAACTAAAACGTGCAGGATTTGAGGACCGACTTTGGACACCCCGACGTAGAGTTTCTGCCTACTTAGTCCTAACAGAGAAACTTACATCTAATTTAATCACTCCCATGCAAACAAACACCTGCCACATAAAATAAAAAATAAAAAATTGAAATACTGCACAGGATTTTGGTTTTACCAGCACTTTGCGTTGATCTCCTTACCTGTATATGTCGTCCATCTGCCGTGCCGAGGTACGCCACAGTGCGACCATTGACTGGAACCACTGTAATCGATGTGACCAAGGTGTTCTTCAAGTCTTTGTGCCAGAACTCCAGCCTCTGGACAAACTGGGTCACCTGCAGGCGGTACATGCCCTCCTTCCCCTCGTGGATTCCTTCGTGGGGGTCGCAGTCGTCTGAGGAAGTCTGCAAAGAAACCAAACTGCATCAGACAAAAAAAAAAATCCAACCGAGAAATGTCTTTCTGTTGTGGTTTCAAGAGTGAGTTTTTTTTCTCCCCCCCCCAATATCACCAGCAATAACATCCGTTTATCTATTCAAAGGAGAATCTGGAGTCTGGAGTTGGCATAAAAGGCTGCTGATCACCAGAGATAATTAGAAAACTGCTGAGAAGGAGACAGGGATCACATTTCACTGTTCAAACAGAGTCTCTTAAAAACCACTTGCTATATAATATCATGTAGAACTATCTGTTTTCATATCTGACCCAGTGGGGGGGAGGGTTAGAAGCCAAACCTGCTAAGCCCCCCCCCACCCCCTTTAGCTACTCTTTCATCAGGCTGAGCTCGTAATGGAGGTCTGGCTATGATAGCACCTCTAGGGCAGGAACGTGTTTTGTTGGACAGTGAGGGCTGCTGGATTTCATGGGAAAAGGCCAGACTTTCATGCTGTTTTTCATTTCGCTGACTGTCTCCTACTGTCTCCACATGTTGTTTTTTTTATACTTTGTGAACCTCTGGTTTCTTACAGACTAAGGGTAAAGACCTAAATCTCACTTTCTCTTCACTGTTGTGTCTGGAGCTTCTAGATCTTACAGTGAAAGCACAACTTGTGTCCAGGGATTGATCCTCTCCCCATGCCTCCCCCACCTTCCCTTCCTGGCCAGTATTGTTTTACTGCCTTTACCCTTTGCCTGTTTAGTCATGGCATTCTGTCCCCGGCCTCAGATTTCATTAATTATTAATGACCCAGGGGGTGGCAAGTCTCTCGAGGCTCTTTGGGTCCTTGACCTGAACGCTTGACCAAGCTGTAGCTTTCTGCTGTTTACTCAGCTCTGGCGCGTGACCTCTCCACCGGAGCAATGGAGCGCAGGTTGAACGATCATGGAAACTCGCTAAAAATGTTGAGCTGAAGCTGAAAACCTGATCTGGACTTAACAACGCTCCAGTCCAACATATTCTTGCGTCCGATGAAGTCATAGCGCCATTATTTGCGGTTTGTGTGAACCTTCCTTGGTCATTTGTTTAGGCAGACAGGCTTTGAAGATGAAAAGAACAATAAGGTTGTAATAAATCTGGAAAGTTAATTTATTCTCTTTTTTTTCTGTTGACTTCTACTTCAGGAGATCAGGACTTCTAGAAGGGTTAAGATAAAATGTCAGAGACACGATCCGACCTGACAGGCACACGGTGGTTACATTTTAAAAAGGCTTAATATGAACCCAAGAAAAAGCTGAAGGAAATTGAAATTTGGCAGAACTTTTGAATGCATTCCTGCTGTACATCTGGGTAACAAAAAAGGCCAACTTGTCTGCCTTGAATTAACTAAAAAAAAAAAAAACCAAGGGGAAGATGGTTCAAATTGGATTAAAAAATGACAGTCTGTGACTGAAACCCATTAAAAACTGGATGACAGAAAGGACACGTAGGAACGAAGAAAAGAAAAAAAACACAAAATGTCTCAAGAAAAGTCAGAGGAGTGATTTCTCGTTTAGACATGAAGTAGAAGTTATGTGTTTTACAACATCTCTGCAGTATCTATTTTTTTTTCAGGAGGTTTCGCTTAAACCGTTTCACTTTTTGGAGAAAAAAAGTGAAAAGTACTAAGTAGTTGCTAAAACCAATTCCTCTTAAAAAATACCTGACACTGACACGTCACTGCAAAAATGATGTCATGCTGGATGAAACAGCAGGCCCTGGGCTGATTATTTTCAGAGCAAACAAACAGGACTTTGGTGTGTTTGTTGAAGCGGAGCAGTCTGATGTGATGGCGAGCGCTGAGCGGCATTCCTCTGCCTCTGCTGAGGTATTCCTGTGGATCAAGAAGATGAGATTGGACAGCGGAAGGCTGTTTTGATAAGTCCAGTTTGAAGCTGCGCTGCTGTTATCCTGGGCTGGTTCTTGGCTTGTAGGCAGCCTTTCCTGGGCTGGCTTGTGATGGGGTCCCCGCCAGGAAAACAGGTTCAATGACACGCTGAAGCCATCACGACTCAAATATGTCACTTCAATTAAAAAAGAAAAATTTAAAAAGCAGTATGTTGGGAAAAATATGGAAGCGTTTCCCATTAAAACCCGGTGAACAAACAAAACAGCCTGGCAAAGGTGAAGGAAGAAACCAGACAGGTCAAGGATAAAGTAGCCTGGTCGTTACCTTTCTACACAACGATTCTCATCTCCTAAGTGAATTTGTTCCATTGAGCTTAATTTCTCAGGATCCATCTCATCCTGGCCAATCAGTGAACAGAAGGCAGGCGCTCTGAACAATGATGTTGAGTTTCTGTGCTGTTTTTGCATTGTGGTTTCAGAGGAAGTGAACGGAGGAAGTTGGCCACGCTTCCAAATATTGAGTCGGAGCAACAGGAATGCTTAAGACATCTCAAATCCAGATCCAATTTATTTCTAAAGCACATTTAAAAAGAATAAGTTTGCCCAAAGCGCCGTACAAAACCAAGACAAATCAAAGAATAAACACAAAACAACATTAAAAACACACACATAAAACCAAAGACAATAAAAAGAGCATATCAACTTACACCAGGCCAAATGTTATAGAAGAAAAATAAATGTTTTAGAAAAAAACTTAAAAACAGGAAGCAAATATACTCGTCTAATATCCAAAGTTTGGGAGTCTAAACAAATAAAGCTCAATCTAAATTTCTGCCTTGTTAATTGGGATCAGTAAAAGCAGCTGGAAGCCAATGAAGGGAGGCCTGGATAGGTGAGATGTGCTCACATGTGTGTGTACCAGTTAAATAATGAGCAGGTCCATGTGGAACAAGCTGAAGATGTGAGGGGAATGCTTGAATACTCGACTTTTGCAATGCAGGGCAATGCTGGTAAAGATGTCGTTCTCTTTTCGCAGAGGGGGAAGGTTGTTCACAGCGCATGCAATTTCCAAAAACCTTCGTAGTGTAGCTGGTGCACCATGTGTCACAGCCAAACGTTAATGACTGGATACCATCACATCCTATCGTTTTTATCGTCTGGATGAAACAACGAGGAAAACAGTATTCCATTCTCTGAACATCTCATGAAGCTCTGTGTCCATTTACCACCTGAAAATGGAAAGAGTACGACACAAATAGCAAACATATCGAGACATGGCCATCTAAATAAACCCACAGGCCAGCCAAGGAAAGTCAACAGACCCTCCATAAGTCTGGAGGAGAGATCCTGAGCTCAGGTGGGAGCCTGCTGACTGGAGAACTCTCCATAAATCTGGCCCTTCTGGCAGAGAGGCAAGAAGAGAGCCATTGTTGAAAAGCATTGATGTGCTACATGTTCCAGGCTATTTTCTGAAGCAGTCTGTAAGCCATTCAACAGTAACCCTGTGGCACATATGGAAGATACTGTACACTTCTTGGCCCTATACTTAACCAGCAGCCATTGTCCCCAAAACAACGGCCCAGCGATTGGATTTCCATGTTGTGAAGCTCCCAAAGCTAGCGGCACTGCTTGGGAGCATCTAAAGGGAGGTGAAAGGTGATCCCTGTGGCTTAATGTCATTTTCCTACTCTCCCTGTGGCCCCTGGGCCCTGTGTGAATAAACACACTAATGCCTGAGCGCGAAGCCTTGGACTGGGTTACTCGCAAAAGTGCTTTTGAATATACAAACTGCATCTGCGGTGCAAAAATAGTGTAACAGCAGCACTGCTAATGTACGAAAATACACACCACGTTACTGAGGCTTATTAGCTCCGACTTAGCAGACTTGCGCACATGCTCGGACGCAGTCTGTCTCGTTTGCAGGGGGCGCTCAGCTGGCTGTCTCTCTGGAATAACAGACCTTTGACCTCTGGGTTGTTTGTGCAATGTTGTGCTCCAGGCAGCGGGCGTTTTGGTTGTCGCTGGGGTGTGCGAAAATGCATTTCTGAGAGACGGCAAAATGCAAAACAAATTGAAAATGAACACGTGCTGGTCAGGGTGGGCGTCCTCCGTCTGGTCTCTGACACGCACGATACTCTGCAACCTAAGTCTGTAGCAGTAATTACCGTGATGTGTAGGTGTTGTGTGTGCCCAGCAGCACAGGTGGCTGGGAGAAAGCAGTACACGGTGTCATGTGTTAATGTGTGTTTGCATGTGCGGGCGCTGCGGAGAACCAAGTGTTGGAGAATAAGGAGAGCTGACAGTAAGGTGAGAACAGGGCCATGGAGCTGCCCTCAAGATGTCAACAAAGACAACGGTGAGGACTGGGAATCACCAGTACAATAGATCAACACCAGTAAGGCATTATATGTAATAAATATAAGGCCAGAAAGATATTTTAATTAATAAAAGCAAATTGTATTTGCAAATATCAAAAGGGAAAATTCTCCTGCCATCTTGTAGTGTAAATGGCAGACAGAATTTATAATGATAGCTATCAGTATGAAAGTAGATCTAGGGAACTAGCATGTGGAGTTAGCTTTGACTTCTCTAAAGAAGTGACTGTTTTGAACATTCTGGACTCTCAGTAGCTCTGTCATATTGTCACATTTTTGTGAACTGAATGTTTCCCAAAAAACAAAACAAAACAAAAAAACCAACAAAAAAACTTCTTTCTTGAGGAATTCCAGTGCTGATATCCATGGTCCCCTGGAGGCTGAAGCAACATCTGTGAGGTCTTTGCTCTGAGCGTGAAAAGTGAGGAAGAAAGTTTTCACACAAACATTTTCATAAACTTGACAAAGCTTTGCAACGACACCGTTTAGACCCGATGATGTGTCCGGGTTGGCTAACATCTAAGAGCATAAATGGTTCAGTTAAAGCTGCTTTGAAGATAAATATGCATGTTCACACAACTGCTACAAAAAAGACTTAGTTCAGATTACATTCAATTTAGCTGCAAACAGCCTTTTATTCCACAGCATTCGTGTCCACTTATGCCCGTGTCTAAGTATGAAGAAACACAGTGAACCAATCTGACCTCTGAAGTTTTTCTAAAATAAATAAATAAAAATAAAGAAATTAAAATTTATTTTTGTTCCA